AATATATATATATGTGTGTGTGTGTGTGTGTATATATATGTAAATGTGTATGTGAATTTGGCTGTGCATGCATGCATGCATGTGTGCATTATATTTAATATTAAAAATTATGGTTATATAGCTTGCTGATAGTTCATAGTACATATTGCACAATAGTGATCAGTGTAGGTAACAGCTGTTAGTGAGTACGGGTATCCAGACTGCAGCTAATTTAAACATTTTATGGGTTGCACACGTGTGTCCACTACGTAAGCTTTACGTTGACAGGGTGTGGATTCTGTAAGAAGCTGAAGCCGGAGTTTGCAGTTGCCGCCACGCTGGTGAAGAACAGAGTGGTAAGTGTGATCTCCCATCCCTTCAACACGCGTTGTCTACCAAACCTCGGGGGAGACTTTGCAAACCTGAAAACTAAACGTGTAAATTTCGACTAGAAAAGAGTCTGTGCACTGATATTTTGTGTGGATTTTCGCGATCGAGGCCCTGGGATAAGGTCTTGCTGCGACCTTTTGCAGGTCCTGGCCGGAATGGACGTGAACAAACCGGAGAATTCGATGGTGAACGCTGCCTTCAACATCACTGGCTATCCGACGCTGCTCTACTTCGAGTGAGTTACCCCCCCCCCGTGCACGCTCACTGCTCACGTTTTAAGTTTGGAACTCGTACCTCTCGGGGAACAAGCCATGGCTAGTCCCAACTCAGTCAACCCTCCACGCTTCGATCCCCAGGGTTGGAGTCCCACTTCGATCATCACTAGGGACTTCAGGCCGAAACGGCCAGAGTTCCAGTTCTACAAAAATAGGGAAAAGTTGTTAGGACGTTAAAGTGCATGGAGTATATTAATACTAGTATGTAAAGAAATACATATAATAATAACATATATAATAATAATAATAATAATAATGAAGCTTGATATAAGGCTTGATATAACTCTTGAACTTGCGGCGTAAGCCTAGAAGGAATTGCTGATGTTGCATTGATTGTTCTCGATTCTTCTCCAGGCGTGGAGCATTCCTGTACAAGTACGGAGGCGAAAACACGCAGGACGGAATCGTCAAGTGGCTGGAAGAGTAAGTGGGATTCTTTGAGCATCTTTCAAATGTTGAAATGCGTGCCGACATTCAGGCTGTAATGGCGCGTAGAATCTTTCTATCATATACCTCGCTGACCCTTCACCGCCTCGCTGACCTTTCACCGCCTCGCATCTGTGTATCATATACTGCACTAACTAAACCCCTCGTCTCGCATCTTTGTATCATGTGCTGCACTGACGAAACCCTCACTGCTTTGATATAACCCCTGACACCAGTGATACCTCACTGGCTAAACCCCTCGTCTCACATCTTCGCATCATATACCTCGCTGATGTAATGCTCACTGCCTCGCATCGTTGCATCATATACCTTGCCGCCTCGCATCGTTGTATCATATACCTTGCCGCCTCGCATCGTTGTATCATATACCTTGCCGCCTCGCATCGTTGCATCATATATACTTGCTGACGAAAGCCGCGCCGCATAGATGTAACCCCTGATACCAGTTATACCTCGCTGACGAAACTTTGTCTCATATTCTGCACTGGCAAAACTTCTCGTCCCACATCCTTGTATCATAGGGCGTGGTTGTTTGGTCGGATCCACGGATCTCGATCCACTGGATCTGTGGATCTGACTGTTTGTTTGGTCGGATCCACGGATCTCGATCCACTGGGTCGAACCCTAACCTCAAAAAAACGCAAACTCAATTTCAACGGTTCGCATTTCGCTGTGACCTATCACGGGATGGTTCATAACAAAGAACAAGCTGCGATTGGCTGAGGCATGGGCCGTCGTATTGGATCCCCTTCGAATCCACCTCGCTAGCAGGGTCGGGTTCGGTGGATCGAGATCCGCGGATCCGACTAAACAAACAGTCAGATCCACGGATCCAGTGGATCGAGGCCCGTGGATCCGACCAAACAAACACGCCCATATACAGCACTGACAAATTCCCAATTTCGTCTCGTATCTTTCTCACGAACGCCTTCTCCCTCGGCTTCCTTTCAGCCCGAAGCCGCCGCAGGAGGTGCCGCAGGAGGCTGAGTGGTCGGGCGAGGAGTCGGAC